TATTTAATAATTAAATAATTAGGCAACAATGTCTCATTTATTTTATCAATATTTAACAAAAATACCTAAATAATTATAAAAATAATTCTAATTTTTTTGCATCTTCTTTAACTTTAATACAAACTTTTAAAATTAATTAATTAATTAAAACAGGTCTAGATGCTAATGCTCCCGATTTAGTTGCTGTTAGTTTTTTATAAATATTTATAAAAAAATTTTTTTCATTTCTAAGGCTCGAAAATTGGCTGCAATTCTTGGAACAGAACACCATGAGTGTTATTTTAGTGTTGAGGTAAATTAAATATATTTATTTATTTTTTTAAATTTATTTAGGAAGGAATAGCTGCTTTAGACAAATTAATTTGGCATTTAGAAACTTATGGTTATTTTTAAAATAAAATTTCTTTTTTATTTTTTAATAAGATGTTACCTCTGTTCGTGCATCTACACCAATGTATTTTCTCTCAAAGAAAATAACAGAATTAGGAATTAAAGTTGTTCTATCTGGAGAAGGAGCTGATGAAATTTTTGGAGGATATTTATAGTTTATTTAGTGTTTTTTTAATTAACAATTTTTCCCTTTAGTTTTCATAATGCTCCAAATAATGAAGAATTTCAGAAAGAAACAATTCGACGAGTTAATTTACTTTCTACGGCTGATTGTCTTAGAGCTGATAAATCTTGTATGGCACATTCACTGGAAGTCCGTGTTCCTTTTTTGGACAAAAATTTCCTTCAATTGGCTATGAATATAAATCCAGAATATAAACGACCAAAGAAAGAGATTGGAAGAGGTGAAAGGCCTATTGAAAAATGGATTTTAAGAAAAGCTTTTGAAAGAGAGGTTTTTTTAAATATTTAAATTTTGAATGGTTAAATTTTTCTTTTAAAGGAAGACCCATTTTTGCCTGATGAGATCCTTTGGCGACAAAAAGAACAATTTTCTGATGGTGTTGGCTATGGATGGATTGATCAATTGAAAGATTTTTGTGAAAGTCAAATTAGCGATGAAGAGGTTAGCTAAAAAATTATTATAAATTTAAATAATTTTTAAGATGGATAATGCCCCTTCTTTATTTCCACATAATACACCAACTACTAAAGAAGTAATTTTGGAAGTGTTTTTTGGAAATTTTTTTAATTTTAGGCTTTTTATATTCGCAAAATATTCCATAAATATTTTCCAAGTGAAGCGGCTGCACAGACTGTATTATTTAATTTTTATATTTTAATTTAAAATAATTTTTCAAAGGTTCTAAAATGGATACCTAAATGGCAAGAAAATGAAGATCCTTCTGGTAGGGCTAATTTAATTCATGAAAGTGCTACAACAACAACAGATAAAGAAGATTTATCATTTTATAGTTGGGGGACATTTTTAGATTCTTGCAATTTACTTTAAAAAATAAATTTGACGAGAATATTTTTTTCTTTTTTTTTAATTAAATTTTAATAAAAATTATTTTCTCTTTTTTTGATTAATTTTTTTATTTAAATAAAAATATTTTTGTATTTAATTTTAGAATATATTTTAAATAATTTTTGAATTTAGAAAATGGTTTGTGAAAAGGCAAAAAGTCTTTGGAAAACTTTAAATGAAGATGGATTATATAGTTGTTTATTTGTAGAACCCTCTCGTGAAAAGAAAATTAAAAAAGGGCGTCCTAGATATGTTGATATTTTGCTTTATAGGTAATTTTTTGAATAGAAAATATTTAATAAATTATTTTCTCTCTTCTAATTTTCTTTTATTTTAATTAGTAAAACAAAAGATTACCGTCTTCTTCGTTTTCTCTACAATTTTCCCTTTGGATTTCTCCTTTCTTTACTTGTTTATCATTTGGCTTGGTATAAAATTAATTTTGCTGCTGATACAAGATTTATTCCTTCATTTTGGGCTTTTTTAGTAAAATATTTTTTGATTGGCTTTGCTGCACTTTCTTTTTCTTTAAATTCTGTTTGGATTTTTTTTATTTTTTTATTTTTCTATTTTTTATTTAAGTTAATTCGTTGTTCAATTATCTTCGCTATTCTCTCAGGACTGAGTAGTTCAGGACAAGGAGTTATTTCAATTTATGTTATGGAAAATTTAAGATTGGGGCCTATACAAAATATTATGGTTAATTTTGGTCATTCAACAAAAATTACTCTTTGCCATTTGGAATTACAAGCACGTGTTGCTAAACGTCGAATGCAAATTCAAGCAGGGCCTTTAGAAATGCTCTTTGAAAAACATTTTGGTAATAAACATTTTCAAATTTAAATAAATAATTTTTCTTCTTGTCATAAAAAAAAAAAAAAATTCGAAATATGAATATTCTGTTGTTGGAAAATTCATTAGATGGGGAATTTAGTGTATTTTGTGAATTTAAGTGGGGCCACCACTTTAGCCCCACTTAAATCGTTTACTGGTTACGACCTTGTACAATTTTTGTTATTTCGAAATATTTTTGTCTTCTCAAAACAAAGCTTTTCTTATTTAAAAATTTTCAGGGAATGCTACTTCAATAGGCAATAAAGTTGTTAAAATGTTGCGTTCATTAGTACAACCGTATGATGGAGAAATTGATTCAGACAGCACAGAAGATGACAAACATTTGTCAGCAATTATTGATACTGCTGAAGTTTTTAAATTATTTTTAAATTTTTTAAATTCTAAAATTTAGGCACTTGCTACAAGAAAATTAAAAACTTATGGGGAGGATAATGATGATACTGAAGAAACAAAAGTTGATAGAGTTTCACAGCCTGTATTAAAACGTCTTAAATCTCATTTGACAAAAGCAATTTATGGAAGATTTATGAAACGTTGTAAATTAATGTTTGCAAGTTCTGTCACTTCTTGCCATAAAAAATTTGAAGAATCACAAGTTTTTTTTAAATATTTTTGTAAATATTTTATATTTTTATAGAGTCTTTGTTATGATACAATACCTTTTCCAATTCATTATTTTACTTGTTCTGCAATGAATTCTTTAACTCTTTGTAAAGTATTTAAAATTTAAATTTATTTTTTAAACAATTTATTTTCCTTTAAAGCCTGATCGTTTTAAAAAAATGTCATTTACATATTGTGAACTTGGCCAGACACAAGATGCTGCACGTGGCACTCACGAGAGTTTATTTTCTTCTGAATTAGACAGTGAAATGAGAGGATTAGAAAATATAAGTAAAACAGTTAAACATCAACTACATTTAAATGTAAATTTAAATTTAGATATCTAAATATATTTTTATTTAAATATAGTTACATTTTGTTGCTGTGGAGGCACCTGAATTAGAACAAGGATATTCTGTTAATCAATTACAAACTGAAATGAAACATGATTTGGAATATTATAAGGTAATAAAGGAAATTTTATATTAAAGTTTAAAATAATGGTTATTAAAAAGGGGATAATAAAATAAACCGGAAAGAAAAGAGATAGGAAAACAAGTTTTTGAAACTTTTAAGAAAAGATTCAAGATAAATATTTCTTATATTTTTTATTTATCAACTAAATGCTTTTTTGTATTATCGGCAAGAATTATATACCTATTTTCAATTCCAAATCTCAATAAAGGCAATTTTTGAATAATTTAAATTAAAAAATTTTTTTTTAGATAATTTTGGCAACTTTTGACAAAATGTTTACTTTTTTAATTATTATGTTTACATATTTTGTTTTTAAAAATTGTGTCTTAATTATAATGAATTATTTAAATGATATTGAATTTAAAAATTATTTTACTACACCTTATTTTTGGTTAGGAAACAATTTTTTTTAATTAAAAAATATTTATTTTTAGGCATATTGATTCAAAACGTCGACGTGAAGGAAAAGTTTATTTGGGATCCTTAAGAAAAGAAGAAATTAAATTTAATAATATAATTAGTCCTTTTGGATTACCTCGATCTGATGAAATTCGAAAAATGACAAAAGCTTTTGTTCGGTGGATTGTTTTATTATTTGTTGTTATTGCAATTGTTATGCTCGATTATTATTATAATAGAATGCTTGAAATTGTAAGAAAATTAAAAAAAAATATTTTTTTTAATTTTTAAAATTTTAAGGTAATTGAACATGGAAAAATGTTAAGTGAACAAACAAGTTATTCTCATTTAAATATTAAAGTTGATGGAGAGGGGGTTGTTGCTAATTTACTTAAAGAGGTGTGTTAGTAAAAGAAGAATTTAAATTTAACAGAAATTAAATAATTTTTAGATTCTTAATTTTAATTATACGGGGTATTTAAAAGAAGAACTTACAAATGAAAAATGCCTTAAAAATGCTTCTTCGAAACCTGATTGGATTTATAATGTCACTAATCTATTTTTGCCTGTTTTCCTTATTCTTTTGTTAATGGTTGGGAGGATGTTTATTTAAAATTATTTTTAATTTATTTTTGTAGGTATTTTTTAATTTTGTTGTTCAACGTTTTGTATTTCTTGTTGTAATGGGAATTATATTTCCTTATAGATCAAAAGCTCGAATAATTCATTTATATAATAAATTATTACTTGCTCGAATTAATATGGATAAATTAAATGAAGCTAAGAAAATTGAAGAAAGTAAAAAGAAAATTGAAGAGAAAAAAGAAAATAAAAAGAAGATTGAAGAAAAAAATAATTTAAAAGATAAATAAATAATAATTTTAATTTATTTTGTTAGTCCTTTTCTTTTTCCCCAATTATGCTTTAAATATATAATTTTATTTATTTATAAATCATTAAACATTTTCGAATTTAACTATTTCATTATTTAAATGAAATAAAATTTGTTTTCTCTATTCCCTTTGATTTTAAAATTAACATTTGGTTCATAGAGAAAATACCACTTTTTATAATTAAATTAACTCTTTAATTAATTTACAATTTACAAAAATTAGCAACAATTATGTATTAAATTAAAAACAAAAAATAAATTAAAATTAAATTCTTTTATTTAAATCCTTCAGTTGACTGAAACATAACAAAACGAAGATAATAAAAAACTAAAAAAAAATTAATTTAAATTTAATCAAAGAAAAACTTTTTCTTTACTTAAAAATCCGGCATAAAGTGTTGGAAAAGCTACTCTACTAACAATATCTACACGTTTAGATAATTCAATATTCGAACCAAATAAATATTTAATTCTTTTAATTATTAATCCAAATCTTGTAATTCTTTTAGGTCTTTTTGGATAAAAATTATTATTTTCTAAATTTAGTGGAGTTTTGCTTAAATCGGAGGAATTATTTTTTGTTAACTGTAAAAAATTAAAAATTATTTTTTTTAAATTTAAATTTTACATTATTATTATTTAAAGTTTTTGGTGCAAAAAAGTCTGGATGATAAATGTTTTGTGGAGATAATAATAATTGTGGTGGTGGTGGTGGACATAAACATTCCTTTTTATTTTTAAAATATTTTTTCCTTTTAAATTTAATAAATTTACTTGTTGATATGCCATACTTAATCTTCCCATTCTTCTCCCTTTCTTTTCTATATTTAAAAATTCTCTTCTACCATAATAATTAACTAAAGCATATTCTAATAATGCCGCAAAAATAAATGCTAAACAAGCCCCAATCCAAACATCTACGGCCTTTTTAGTTATTTTTAATTTAGAAAATTTGGAAATTTTAATTACCTTTATATAACTAACTGGAGGTAATTTCTAATAAAATTAAAATATCTTTTTATTTTAAAAATAAAAATTACAGAATTAATCCCCGATGCTTGTGTTGTCATTGTTAATAATCTTTTAAATTAATTTAAAAATTAATTAAAAATAAATTAAAATATTTATTTACGTTGTAACTCCTAAACTAACTCTTGCAGGCACTTTAAAAATAATTAAAATTAATTTTTGAAATTATTTTTTAAAAATTTACCAGCATCTTTGTCAAGCCAAAATGATACCTAAAAATTTTTAAATTAATTTTTAAATTTAAATTAACCCAAGAAACAACAACCAACATAACACCTTTAAATTTAAAATTAAATTAAAAAATTTTAATTTTCTTACAAGGAATGTATAATTGAATAAGATAATAACTAAATAAATAAATTAAAAATAAAATAACCCCAATATATCTATTTACCTATATTCTCTACGCAACAGAAGCTTTAATCGAACACAAGAATATTCCCCTATAAAATAATTATTTTTTTAAATTTATTTTTTATTAAAAAATTATTTTGAAAAAGCAAAAACTAAATCTAAGCAAAATTTTTATACAAAAAAATTAAAAATAATTAAAAAGCTAACACAAAACTAAAATGTTTAAATAAAGACTAAGGAAAGCAAAAATAAAAAAATAAATTGGGCAATAATGAGCATAAAAAAGAGGTTAAGAACATATGTATCAGGGATTTAGCCGACATAAAAATTAAATTCCCATTTTCAGGAATTAGATCGGCTAGATCCTTAATATGTAGGTATATCTTTCCGATTAGAGATCAGGATTGGAGTGAAAAAAGATTTATATATTTATAGTTGAGGTTTGACTGTGTCCAAAACAAATAGTCCAAATTCGTTGATTTTTACATTAAATATACAGCCCAATAAAGAACTGAAAATTAATTTAAAAAATATTTTTATCAGAATTTTATATAAAAAATAAGCACCAACCATTAAAGCAAGCATATCCAATTGGAAAAACCTTTAAAAAACAAAAAACATATTTGCTTTACTATTTATTTTCTAACCAATCTAGAAACAACATCAATTCTTTTAGACCTTTCTTTATATCTTCTAACAAATAATCTACAACAAAAACGAAAACAAATTCCCAATCTTTGTTGTTGCATAGATTGTCTAGAATTGTTGTTATTATTTTGTCGTATATTTAATGTTGGGATTGGATGTAAAAGTGATTGAAATTGGGGTTGGGATTGTTGGGGTTGTTGATTGTTGGGGGAAGAAGTAGAAGTATATTGTTGTTGATGTAATTTAATCATTCTCTTTAAATTAAAAAATATTTAAATTAAATTTAGTAAATATTTACTTGTTGTGTTGAACTTATATCTTTTCTTGCTGCATAATTTACTAAAGCAAATTCAAGTAAAGCGCCAAAAATAAATGCCATACAAACCTTTAAATGGATTTTTTATTAAAAATTTTTAAAAATATTTTTATTTCGGAGAGCTTTTTTGAATTTTAAATTGATTAAAAAAATTTTCCTAATTTTATCATTTAAAATTATCAAAAATTGTCTTTAGGTAAACAAAAATATTTTAAATTTTAAATTAAAATTACAAACCCCAATCCAAACATCCACAGCCTAAAAATTATTTTTAATTAAAAAAATAAATTTAAAAATAATTATTTACTTTTGTGTAAGAGACTGGAGGTAATTTCTTTAAAAAAATTTTAAATCAGTTTTAATTAAAAATTAAATTCTTACAGAATTAATACCGCTAGATTGTGTAGTCATTGTAAGTAATCTATTGGGGGAGGGGAATTAATTTAAATATTTAAGTTAAATATATTTACGTTGTAACCCCCAAAGTTACTCTTGCAGGGACGCTGTCCTTTTTAAATAAAAAATATTCTTTTTTGTAAAATTGTTTAAACAAACTTTATCTAACCAAAAAGAAACCCAAGAAACAATTACTAACATACAAGAAGGAATATATAACTTTAATTTTAATTTAATTATTTATTTTTTACTTAATTTACCTGTAATAAATAATAGCTAAATTCTCTTCGAAGTATTAACTAAAAAAATTAATTTTTATTTTATTTTATATTTAAAAAATACTTTTGTACGAAGACATGAATAAGTACCTAATTTTAAATTAAAAAGTGGTAAAATTAAACAAAAAAATTAGCAAAAAAAGGTTAAAAAAGCAAAAATGAAATTATTTTTTAATTAAGCAAAAACAAAAAGAGGAATATATTTTAATTTAAATTTAAATTACCAGTATTTGTGTTACTTGTACAAGAATCAGTCAAAACTGTTTGAAGTTCAAATGAAGGCAAACTTTGACGTAAACCTTTTTTTATTTGTATTTTTAAAATAATTATTTAAAAACCTAATTTTTGTTGGACAGGATTATCCCTTTTCCAAACATAGATTATATCGTCTGTTGTATAGGCATCTTTTTTTAATTTTAAATTAAAATTTAAAAGAAAACACATACAGCTAGCTAAATCAATTAAACATGTTTGTCTATCTAAAGGGTAATATTCTAATGACATTGGACATGAAAGAACGAGTGAAAGCCTTTTAAATTTATTAAAAATTATTCAAAATAATCCATCAGAAAAACCAGACTGGTGCATGGATACGGATTTTGCTATCCGTGTCCGGATATATCCGTGAGGTCAATATTTGTACCCGTGTAACTTTTGAGCCATATCCATTCGCGGGTATCCGTATTCATGCACCAGTCTGAGAAAGACTACCTAACAGAATAAAGAATTTGGCCGTTTGGATGTATACGAATTAAAACATTTGGTTTGTCAATTAAATGCCTTCTAGCTTCTCTTTAAAAAATTTTTTTGAAAATTAAAATTGAAAAAGAAATACTTTTCATTTTGAAAGAAAGTATCGGGCATCTAAATTTATTTTAATTTAAATTGAAAAATAAATTATTTAAATAAAGACCCAAATTTGCTGACTTAAATCAGCTTGTTCACTTGTTGCTAATCTTTAAATTAAAAAATAATTCTTTTAAATATTTATTTATTTATTTACACAACAAAAGAAGGAACTTCTGTCTCATCATCAGCAAATCTACTATAAGCCAATCTAGGATCCCACCATTCTTCTCTAAAAGTAAATTGTGCACTATCTAAAAATTAATTTTTTTAAATTAAAATTAACTAAATAAACACAAACATTCCATATTAACATCATCAATTTTTGAAATTGAACGAAGATAGATCTTTTTTAAATATATTTTTAATTTAATTTAATTAATTATTATATACATTAACAGTAACATTAACAGGCCCTCCAGTGTCTAAAAATATTTTTATAAAAAATATTTAATTGTTTTAGACTACTTACCTGTCCAAGATTCGTTTTTACCCCGCGGCCTAACTCGCCAATCTAGAAAATATATAGAAGGTATACATAAGGTGTGCAAAAAGTTGAATCTCAATAAATAACAAAACTTTTTCTTTAGTCCCTTTGAATTCGTTATATCGAGAGATTCAACTGTTTATTATTAATTTTAAAAAAACCATAATCTCGCAGAACTTTCTGAATTATTTCCTATAAAAATTATTAATTAAAGGTTATTAATTTAAAAATTAATTAAATTAATTAAAAGGCAATTTTGTAAGAAAACAAGATATTTATTAATTTACTTGTTCTTTCAATTTTTTCTTTGTATTATAAATAAAAGGATCATCCTCTTCATTAATTTGTCCAGCAGATATACTTTTAATTATTGAAAGATAAAATAAAAATAAAGTAAAAGAAAAGAAAGTTGTATTTTTAAAAATTGGAATTTTTTGGAAATGTTGATTTTGAAAATAAAACATAAATAAATTAATTAACTAAAATATGTGTGGGGATAATTAATTAATTGATATACATATTGTTTAATATTTTTTAAATAAAAAAAGAGAATATTTATTTTTATTTCTAATTGTTACAAAAATATATTTTTATTTAAAAAAAGTGCAAATCTTTAACGAAATCTGAAACTCATTCGGGGCTTGTTTAGAAATGCATATATTAAAAAAAGAAAAATTTAGAAAAAAAAGTATTGGAATAAGTAAAAGAAATTGGCAAAAAAGAGAATTTATTTAAACAAAAAGTAAAAAATAAATAAATTTAAATAAAATTAATTAATAAAGATTAAAAATAAAGAAATTTCTGATTATTTAAAAAAAGTTTAAAAGTTTAGAAAAATACATTTTTGAGAATATGTATTTAGTAAATGGCAGCGGGAAAAAAGTATTTGCTTAAACTTTTTTAAGTAAAGGAAAACAATTTTTGTTGTAAATAAAAGAAAATTTTAGAAAAATATTGGAAAAAATAAACAGGTAAATATTCATTTTTTAAAAATTAAAGATAAGAAATTAATTAATTAAAATTTTAAACAAATTCACAATACTCTTTTAAATAAAGCAAAGAAAGTACCTCCAAAAATGAAATAATTTTTAAAAATTTAATTTTAACATTCAAAAGTTTTTGTTATGGAACAAAAACCGGAGGTAGACCAAATAACCGACATGAAAAATCTTTCAAGTCTACTTACGGAAACTCAAAGACTTTGGAAGATAGTCGATTTCCAAAAATTCGGGTATATTAATATTCCCGTAAAAAGAATAGAAAGGAAAAGGTTTGAGGGAAAGGAAAAAGAAAGTAGAGAGATTTAAATAAATTTAATTAATTAATTTTTTGTCTAAAAAATAATAATTATTTGTTTAATTTAATTATTTGTCTATTTTTATTTTTAAAATTTAAGACATGGGAAAAAATTTTGTTTCTGAAATTTTACTTAGTGAAGAGAAATTTGAGGATTTTTAGGTTAAATAGGAAGGAAAATATATTTTTAGATATTAAAATAAATTAAATAAATTTTTATAAAATAATTATTATTTTTTCCTAAATAATTCCAAAAAATGCAACAAATATAAAACATTTAAAATAGTCCAGAGACCGTTTTTAATAGAAACTATATAAATTTAAATAAAAAACATATAAAAATGTGTATTAGAAAATTTGACAAAAAAGCAATAAAATTTAATAAAAAATGCGTTAACGTCCCCACAAATTTTTATCTTTAAAAGAAGCCTTAAGGCAATGAGGGACGGGAATTGGCAAATTGAAAAAGAAAATAACAAGTAAAAAGGATTAAATAAAAGTTGTTGTAGAAAAGTTTTTTAGAAGAAGAAAATATTTTTGTTAAATTTTATTTAGAAAAATTTTAATTAAACAAAAAATTAAATTCCCCTAAAAAATTATAAGAGAATTCTTAATCTTAAAATTATTCTAAACTTTTAAAAAAAATTTTATATTCATAAAAAACGTAAAGAAAAAAGTTGAAAGCCAAAAGAAAACCTTTTTTACAAGTAAAAACATAGTATGTAGTAGTTAGTAATTCTTTCTTTCCCTTTCCATTTTGGCATTTTTTTCTAAAATGGAGTTGCTCAACGTTAATGGATTTTTATATGTTTTTTTTTGTTTATTTCTTAGATTTCAATGTCCAATTTATTTTCTTTTATTTTCTGATTGGCCAATTTGTTCTTTCCGTTTTTGTTTTATGCAAATAATTAAATTTAAAATAAATTTTAAAGAAATATTTTAGAAGACTAATTAATTAAGAGGAGAAGAAGGAACAGAATTTTGAAGAAAAAAAATATTTTAAAGGGTTACTAGATTTGCATTTATTTAATTTTTTTGTAATAAAATAATTTAGTAATTTATATTTAATATTTAAAAAAGTGCAAAACTAACTACTTGTCACTAACTTTTATCTCCTTTTTTTCTTGCACTTCCTTTCCATTCTTTATATAAGAAATGAACAAAAGAAAAGAAAGGAGGAAAAGGAGGGGAAAGGAGGGGGGGGGGAGAGGAGGAGGAAGAATGCTTTTGGAAAATCCAACCGAGAGAAGAACTTACTTTTTTTATTTTTTAGCCATTATTTTCTTTTTTTTATATTTTTGTCTTTATTATTAAAAGAATGAAAGACTGGCTAACAACAACAACTCCCTAATGAATTATTTAAGAGAAACACACACTTATTTTCAAAGCTTTTTTGAAGTGTCATCCTCCTTTTATTCCTCCTCTCTCTTTATATTTATTTATAACATTTGCCACCTTTTTTTCAATTTTTTTTTTCATTGGGCGGTCTTTTATAGAGAAGAAGGTAAGTTCATTATTTATTTGCCTACGGCTGTCAGAAGCAAAAAATATAAAAAAATCTTTTCTTTTTTTCTTTTTAAAGTATTTTCTAGACATAATAATAATCAAAAATAAATATTTTTTCTTATAATTATTACAATTGTTTTTATTTAAAAATTATTAGGGGTCTCTCTAAATATTTTTACAAATTAAATTGTTTAAATCCATCACGTATTAATAAAATAGCAACAATTATCAAAGCCAAATCTAACGGAATTAAAGTAGAATAAATAAATATATTCGAATTTTCACAAATTTCTTCAATTTTTTCTTTTCTGTGTTTTAAAATTAAATTATTTTTCTCTTTTTCCTTTAAATGTCGACGTTTTCTTGGAGGATCTGGACATTCAGGAACTGGACAAAATTCAGTTCCAGGTTCTTTAATACTCAAAACAATTTTACAATCAAAAAACAATCTAAAATTAATTTTTAGAGAATAATTTCCCTTCTCTTTTTCACCTTTCACGGTCAGCATATTTATAAACGTGTGCTTCTTTTCCAACCATTAAATCAGAAATATAATCTAAATTTTGTAGTAAATGTTTGTCTTTAGCACATCCTTGTTCATCAATTAATTCAACACGATCTCCATGTCCATCATCAACAATACAAGAATGCTTAAATTTTTTAATTTTTAAAGACTAAATATTCTCTTTCTCTCTTACAACAATCATACAAAACTGGTTTTCTTCACTCGATTCACATGTCCATTTATGATAAACCTTACAAAATAATTTTTTAAATATTTTTTCAAAATTTTTTAAACCATTTGTCCAATTGTTGCAAAAAGAACAGGAGGGCCTTGTGGACCCCCAGCAAGGACCTAAAAATAAATTTATTTAAATATTTAAAATAAAATAAACACCTCATAACGACATACAGGCATAGGGACTTGTTTAGTATGCATTGTTGGTGGACCCATCCTTTTTTATAATTAAATAAAAAATATTTTTAAATAAAAAAACTGTATATTTAATTCATTTTCTAATTGATGTTCCATTTCCATATAAAAACATTTAAGTTCATATAAACGATCTATTTTACTTAAATATTGTGGATGAAAAGCAAGAACAATTTTAGCACTTAAAAATACTCCTTTTGGATTATCCTTAATTTAAATATTTATATTTCCCCCCTTTTTAATTAAAAATTACATATTTTGTAAAATTAATTCCACAAGAAAAAAAATTTAATTTAATTTGAGCATTTCTTTGGCCAATTTCCCTTCCATTAGTTTCATCATCAATTGTTGGACTAGATCGACATTGAGGGTCATTTAAATGATCTTCGACAAAAACAATTCCCCGAAATGTATTTCGAGTATCAAAACGCTTTTTTTAAAATTTAATTTAAAAAAAATAATTTTATTATTTTACAAACCACTTCAATATAATTCCCTCCACAATCAACATAAGGTTCTCCTAAAATTCCATTGTCAATTACAGAATAAACAAAAGGAAAGAATTGAGATAATAATAAAAATAATGAAATTGAAAAAAATAAATAAAATTTCATAATTAAAAATATTTTGAAAGAAATATTTTTGTTTAAGAAGTGAAAGGAGAAATAAAATCACAAATAAACTATGGAGTTCCTTTATTTTTTTAATTAAAAAGATTTTTATCTTCGAATATGTAAAGCTAGATTTGAATATTAATTTAGATTTTTATATCTTGATTCAAAGAAATTAATTTTTAATGAGCTTTTTAATATTAATCAATGAAATTGAAAATAATTCGTAAAAAATAAACTAAATAATGAGAAAAAAATAATGTTAGAAAGTTTTATTTTAATTGTAGTATTTATTTGTAATTTTAGTTGAAAGAAAATGTTGCCAATAAAAGTTAAGTAGTATATTTATTAGATCCAATTCAACTCAAATTAAACAACTCGTCAAGTTGCAGGTCTCGAGATTTTTTAAAGTTAATTATTATAGATTAGTCATAGCAAGTTTTGCTTTACAATATCTCCACTATAAAAACATGAAAAAAGATTATTAAATTATTTATTTCTTCAAATAAAACAATTCCAATGACCGGATGGACAATTATTTCCGTTTCTCTTTGCTTTCTTTCTATTGTACCTCTCTTTGTATTTGTTCTTTGTTGTTCAAAAAGGCGTAAAGGCCGTATAATAAATAAAACAAAAACCAAAAAAGCAACAAAAGTGGCGGGTACAACTCCGATCGAGATAAAGGTTGACAGTCAAATTAATGTTGATATTTCGAATATTGAAATACAACAAGTAAATTAGCCTCTATGTTTAATTAAATATTTGAATATTTTCAGGACTTCTCTCAGCAAGAATCTAGCGAACTTCCGGTAATCGAGACTTCCTCAAATCCCTCTGAAAAAATAATTGATGAAACAAAAAGTCAACATAAACATCCAATTCAACCTAGACAAACTTCTCGTTCTGTAAAACAGACTCATACAATGTATAATATTGTTGAGGAAAAGGAAGACGAAAATAATGAAGAGAAAAAAGAAAACAAAAATGTAAAAATTAATTTTGGATTTTTTAAAATTTTCTTAAATTTTTAGGAAAGCAAGTCATCAAAAGTTGAAAATAAAGACAAGCTTAAATCGTCTGAAAATAAAGTTTTGATTGACAGTAGTAATCGTCCTCTTCAAATTCAAAAGATTAATGGAGAAGACAAACAATCTGAATCTTCTGAAACAGAGAAGGAAGAGAATAATAATGAAGAAGAAAATAAAGAAAATATAAATAACAAAAACGAACAAGATTGGGGGGATTCTGATGAAGATTTTGATGCAATTTATGATTTGGGGCATGATGCTCATGGTGCAACTCCAATACAAGATGAACACCACGGAAGTGTTTTGATGCATTTACTTTCTCAGGTAAATTGTGACTTGCAATTATACACATGTACCTATTAATATTTAAATTAAAGGTCCGAATTGGAATGGATCTTGGAAAAGTAACTCTTCCAACTTTTATTCTTGAACGTCGTTCACTTTTGGAAATGTATGCTGACTTTTTTGGTAAAAATTAAAAGAAAATAAAGATTTAAAATATTTAATTTTAGCTCATCCTGATTGTTTTATTGAAGCAACAAAAGAACCAAGTACACCAGAATCTCGTTTCCTTTGTGTTCTATTAAATTATCTTACTTCTTTCTATCCCGCTCGTAAAAGTGGCAAAGCCAAAAAACCTTATAACCCCGTTCTTGGAGAAATATTTCGATGTAGATGGACAATTCCTGGTACGCAACCTTGCAAACAAAAAACTAAAAATGGCCCATTCCCCGGATCAGCAACAAATCAAGTAAATTAATTTAAAAAATATTTAAATATTTTTGTCAATTAAGGTTACATTTATAGCTGAACAAGTAAGTCATCATCCACCAATCACAGCTTTTTATGCTGAACATCCAAAGTCTGATATTTCCTTCAATGCTTATATTTATACAAAATCGGTTTATCTTGGACTCTCAATTGGTGAAAATTTTAATTTTATTAATTTTACAGAATAAATTTTTAAGCACTTCATAATATTGGGCAAGGAGTTTTAACTTTGCATCGCCATGAGGAAAATTATTCTATAACATTTCCAAGTGCTTATGGCCGTGCAGGTAAATTAATAAAAATTTAAATGGAATAAAAAGTTCTTTATTTTAGTTATGTCTTCTGCTCCTTGGTTTGAACTTGAAGGAAAAGTTTGAATTTAAGTTAAAAAATTATTATTTTTTAAATTTAAAGGTAAAAATTCATTGTGAAGAAACTCAATATAGAGCTGAGATTGAATTTCATGGAAAACCTTTATTATTTGGAAAGCCACATCAAATAAGTGGAAGCATTTACCATGGAAATAATTCAAAAAAGCCAATTATGTATTTAAAAGGAGAATGGAATGGGCAAATATTTATTCGCGAAGGAAATCGTGGAAAAGATAGACTTTTTGTGGATACACGTGCTAAACCAGATGTTGTAAAAGTAAATTTAAGAAAAATATATTTTACATAAAGATATTTAAATATATGTATTTTTAAAGGAATGTGTGCCTGTAATGCAACAAGAGGAAAAGGAAAGTCGACGCTTGTGGAGACATGTCACTGCTGCACTTTTTCATAATAATTTGGAAGTTGCAACAGAAGCAAAACATTTAGTTGAACAACGACAACGCGATGAACGTACTCAACGCGAAAAGAAGAAAATTGCTTGGCAGACCCGTTATTTTGAAAAAGGATCTGATGAATATAGTTGGGATTATAAAGAACAGTTAAATCAAAGAGATACACAATAGGAATGAGAATAAAATTTTTTTTAGAAATTTTAAATAATGTTGATATAATATGTTTGTATTTGCTATAAATGTTAAATTTATTTTTTTACAATATGATCTGATCACAAGTAAATAAACAAAAATACCAAAGTACTCAAAAATTTACTTAAATGAATGCTTGAAATAAAAAAAAACAGATGTAGAAATTTAAGCCAAAAATAATACTTTTTTAATATTAGTATAATTACTTTCTATGTAACTAAGTTGCACATTTGACAATAAAAGAAAAAAGGAAAACTAAGTAAGTTACCAATGTATGTACAATTTAAAAATAGGAAAATTGTGAAACGAGGTCAGTTAATGTAAAAAAATATATGTATACATAAAGAAATTTGCGGACAGAAACTTCAGAATACAATTAAAAAATTTTTGTAATCTGAAGAATACAATTTATTGCAACAAACTTGGGGATTTTTGATTTTATAAATTGAGTTAAAGAAATCATAAATCTGAAGTTTCTGTCTGCTAAGTATAGTAATGTATATACAAAATCAAAGCTAATAAATAGAGACCTTAATTGAATATACACCTTTGGGGCTAAAAATTGTTAGTATACTGATGGGGAGTAGATACGGGGAATTCTAAAAATGAGGCTCTTAGATAAAAATTTTCCGTATAGAGTCAGACTATAATAAAAAAAATTAGAATTATTTTAAATTTCCTGCCCGGAAATGAGAGCATAATTGCAATCATTGCATTCACTTTCCTTATTTACAGATCGCCGAGACGCATGTGAAAGTTGAGATCTTGTAGTAAAATTTGGAACAGTAGCAAGATTTGGACAGGTAAATTTTCTTCGTATCTTATCAGTTGAAGCATCCACAAAAACCATTCGCTGTTCTTGGGGAGAAAAGCTAGCCGAAGACATTTTCCTTCGTGTTGGTGAGGGACTACCTCGGTGTTGTAAATCTTGCTGTTGGTTTGGAAAGTAGGAGCGTACTGGTGTGTGTGATTGTGGAGTTGTCGAAGATGAAGAGAATTTGCGATGCGGCTGGTGAGGTGATAGACTCGGACTTCTGCTTCTAGAGGAGACTGAAAGTCTTGCACGAACAGGCGAATCGTTAGAAAATACACCACGGACAGGAGATTGCCCAGCTGCTCTGGTATTGCGTCTTGCTAACATTAGTATCGCGGTATCGTCGGGAGGAACTGAGGGTGTATGAGAAACGGCTCGATCTTTGGTTGTCTTAAAAAATAATTTCAAATTAGAAAATATAACAGAATCTAACCAATTTCCCTGCTCGTTTCTTGCTCTCTCCATCAGATGAAAGGGACGAATTTGGAGAAGGTGAAGACTCCATAATTGTACATATGGAGCGCACAGTGAGTTGTTGTGGATTTGTTGCTGAACGTTGACTTTTAGGTGTACTTAACATCACATAATCATCGTTTTCATCTTCTGCAATCGGGCGTTCTGGCATTTTATTGTTCCGAGTTTCGCGTTCAATTATTACGGAAGTTGAGGAAGATTCGGTATTTGAGCGGGAAGAGATTCCACTACTACTCCCCATTGACTGACTTGTTGGAATTTGTGATGATGAAAGAGAAGAAAGTGCTCGAGGTGGAGAACGTTTGGTTTGAGAAGAATTGGCCAAACTTATAGATACACATCCACGTTTTTCAGCACTAGAGCGTAAGCAACGCAAGGCCAACGAATGGTCACTCGCAATAGAATGATGTCGATTATTGCAACAACTGCATTGATGTTGCTGATCAGATTCATTTGTCGCTAGTTGTTGTGCAAGGCTTTGTTGAGCTGGCGATTTATTATTATTAGTTTCATTCTGCTGCTGAAACATTTCGGGAACACTTCTTTTCCGACGTATTTGTCCACAATCACGCCAACAATTCTTTTGGAGACAAAGTTTTTCGAGGGATTTTTTCTCATTCCCATCTTTCAATTCTATTCCAATACAAGGTCCAAAGCCTCGGGTATGCGATAAAGGAATAGTAGTATCAAGTGTATATCGAATTCCCATTGGGCAATGCACACTTACAGAAGAGTGGCGCGAATGAATTGAAGGAATAGAGTCAATTGATTGCGACTCATCCCGATCTGAATTAATTGAGTTTTTAATCAAAGAGTAGAAAACTATTATACCAAAATCGATTTCCACGTGATCATCGGTTGAGTGCGGATAACAACTTGTGCTAGCTGAACAAGTTGACTTTGCTTCAAAAGTATTTCGACGCGAGTCAACTTGTTCTGTAACACGTAAATCAGATGTATCCTGACATTTTTTTGTTGTAAACGGTATTTGAAACTTTTTCAGTGATGGTTTGATCCTTAAATTAATAAAACAGTCTTTGAAAATACAATTCTCAATCCTCACCAAGTTTTGCTACCAACTGAATGCGCTCTTTTTCGTACATCAGCCAATATATTATCAGTAACGCTTAATTGTTTATTCTCAACAAAGTCAGACTCTCTGTTTTTTAAATGTTCATTTGTCGCTGTCACATCAATTTCCTGTGTTTTAACTGATTTAGCTTTATGACCAAGAATTGTTTTCTTAAAGTAGTTTGGTGGTGAACTATTCGAAGTTGGATGAAGTAGTTGTGAAGGTTTAACGTTGTTTCCAGCAATCCCTCCGACTTGATCTGAATTAATTGACAAAGTAGCTGAAGGACAACCAACAAGCCTAGAATCTGGCGATTGTGCTCGTGGCTGATTAACAGTAAGAGATGCTTGATGTGCTAAAGTTTAGATAAATATTTTAGTATGAAAATAAGACAAGTACTAATTTCGCCAGAACGTGGTGTATTACTAGATTGTGTCCAACAACTATCTGAACTATTAGAAATATAAGACTGGACTTCACATAACGGAAAGGAAGAATCTATAAAAATTAGAATATGTAAACAAATATAATAATGTAGTTTTAACCATTATTTGACTTTTGAGGCTTTTGTTTAATATTCATTTCGAGGTATTCGCTGCCAACATAAGACTGGCTTCCTTTTGATGAACTATACAAATCATGATGTAGACCAAAACTGCAGTTCGACAATGCTTGTTCTGTAAAATATAAAAATATCAAAAAACTCAAAACCTCATTAATTTTTAGAATTTAACCTAAAAATTTCTTACGTCTAAAAGATGATGCACCAGAAATAGAGCTGTTACTCTTTCGAGATTCAGCTCTAGTTAACGCACTTGTAGAGACTCTACTGCTCACACTTCCTAGCTTAAGAGAATGACCCCCACATTGACTATGTTGTTCATCCGGATCATAAGTCATATAATCTTCTGCACAATCATAACTGGGTTGATTACTAAAAACGCTCGAAGAGGAAGTCATAGGAGCTTTTTGGACTGTAGTAGATTGTTGGTTACGTGAACTGCCAGACAAACTGTTCCTTCTAGTCCGAATTCCAAAAACAGAACTGACCACTGAATTCTTATATCCGCTTTGATTTGAAGAGACAGGCACATTTGTTAGAGAAGTGTTGTCGTTGTTTACAGTTTCTTCCTTCAAAATATCTAAATTTTTGAAAAAAATTAGTAGAGTTCCTTGGAAGTTCAAACAAATAAAATATAAACTAACAAGGAGTTGACAAATGATCAGCTTTATTTTCTGTTTGCTTTCCAGAACTTCCAGTAGACATTTTTGCACCAAGCCTTGATGTAAAAAGTCCTACAATCGAGTTCTTTTTGCCAGAAGTAATCGATAGATGTTCAGACATTTCACCAAGTAAACTTTTCTCGGGAATAGATTGTAGACAACTAAATGAATCTACTCGTTCTGATCTAGCATCAACTTGTCTATTTATTAAAAAAATAAAATTACTATAAAAAAAATAAAATACCCAGTTTGGCTTGTATTTGATAGTTTTGGTGTAAGTCCAACATCTTTAGTAGAGTTTGAAGAGACTTTGTGAGATTCGTCAATTTTATTCATTTCCGGTTGCTTATTGTTAGATGAAGATAATTTAGATAACTTTTTAGTATTTTGTGTTTGAGAGCGTTCTCTATGTGCTCGACTTTTAAGAACGCTAGAACTAATTGTTGGTCTGAAATTTAAAAAATGAAATTATAATATAGAATATTTTTACTATTTCTTCTTCAACATAAAATTTACTTACAGATTAATTTTTATTCCTTGTGCTCGTCGCCGTTCACTCTCTCGTTGGTTTATTTGGCTTATGCGTTCATGAATAGATCGTGCAGAAGAACCATGTTCTGTAGCCATCCACAATTCACCGCTACCGATTTCTGAACACCTGCCAATGCGTACAAAGAAAAACCGTTCTTGGGTTCCATAATTCGATATCACATTCAACTTGAAAAGAAATAAAGTAAATAATTAAAATAAAAAAAACCGATAGGTCAATAAAAGTATTTTTATCAAAAGGAGCATCAACATTTGGACTTGGGCGACATCCAAGTGTGAAAAGCAAAAAAGAAGATTGACAAACACAAAGGCGACGTAGCCCCAAAAGCTGTGGTCTTTTCTCAGCCAAATCATCATTTTTGATTTCTGGTTGTAACTTTTTTGAATAATCACGACGAAGTTTTGGTTTACAAATAATTTGTACATCCCATGCAGCCTTGAAAAAATATTATTTATATTTTTTAATTTAAAGAACCTCAAAAAATTCTTCATGAAATACAGGTCTGAGTAATTTAGTACTTCGACATTCTCTTGTTCTCTCAAGAATCCAATCAAACCATGCTTGCAAATCATATTCAGAATCAGTTGGTCGAAAGAAAAAAGAAGTGTTCGGATCCATTAAGCAAATACAATCATCTTTAATTTGGATAGGCTCATTTTGAACAGAAACATTGAATACATCACCAAAATCAACCTAAAATCGAAATTTTAAATAAAATAAAACGGAAAAGGCAAAGACTGCATGCCCCTAAAAAAGGAACAAAAATAGCTTTCGATTTTTTCAGGTTTCGCCGGAGGATAATAAGATTTCAATATTTTAAACAAAAAGGCCTAGTCGAATTCAGTGTTCTAAATAAGACTAAACTCGGCGCTTTCATTATTTACTGATGAAACCCAAAAATATCGAATGTACTCTTACTCGTTCTTCCAGTGCCTAGTAATTTTACTTTCCCGGGAAGTTAAATATGAATCGAAATAATTTAAATTTACCAAATATTTAGGAGATTTCTTGTTGCGAGCATCCTTTAGAGTTTTGTGCACTTCAAACATAGTCATATGTACAGAAACATGAAAATTTCGAGCTCTTCCTTTCCTCTTAAAAACAAAAAATATAAATTTTTTTAAAGAGAAAAATAAATATAGAATATTTAATAAGAAAAATAAGAAACCTCAGTAACTGGATAAACTGCGAAAATAGCACTTCCTGAAATTACACCAACACCGGCTGTATCAAAAAATGTTTTTCGTATTGTAGATGCTGTTGGTGAAAGTGTAGGAAATGCAGAAGCCATCACAATTATTAACTAAAAATTAATTTAAGAAATAAGAAAAATAATAATTTTATGAATGATATCAGATTTTATAAAATAAATTTGTACGAGGATTTGCATTTTAAAGAAAAATATTACATGAAAACTCTCCTTTTACGAAAAGCTGGCGTTAAGTATTAAAAGATTAATCGATAGAACGCTGAATTAATCCTTTGTGAGGCGAGTAAAGAAGAGGGGATTTGTCATGAAAAGGAAGTCTTAATTTTAAAAAATAAATGACATCCACGTGCTTAGGTAATTTTATCAATTTGATAACTACATAGATTGAAAAAGAAATTATGAACAAGTAATTTGTAAATGAAATGAATTAACTTGATATTTAAACATTTTTTGTAAAAGGAAAATTAACCAGTCGTGACAGATGGAAAAACGAGACGATTTTTAAAGTGCAAATGCTCTGAAAAGATCTCGTTGACAGTACTTTTACCGAACTTAGGTACACAAATAAAAGTATGTACAATTTACGGAAAATGTGACGGAATGGAGAGTGACGAAATGTTACATAATAGGCGAAAATTTCATCCAAGTTCATGGGATGGTCGGGTGAATTTCATGCCTTGTTGGCGGGTTCATGAAGGAAGTTAGTTAGTGTGTTTACATTCATTTTTAGGCACTACTAAAGATGAGGGTGCTATTTCTGCGGACTTTTTTTGCGGACTTTTCCTTTCTTTTAAATGTTTTTCTTGTAGCAACTAACTGTCAAAGGCCCTCCCTCTATTATTTTTCTTACCTAAGATTGTACATAAAGGTCAGATTTTCTTCTTCCTCTCCTTCCTCTATTTGCCCTGTGGCATATTCATACAAGAGACATTGATGAAGAGAAGATTAATTTTATAGGTCATACACTTATTTTTTGCCTCCTAAAACAAGGTTAAACAAAAAAAGAATTAAATAAAATTGATTTGGTGTATAACATTACGAATTTGTGTAAAACCTTTAACATTCTTATTTATTTTTAAAAATATTGAACAACTGAAAAAATGTATTGAACGCATTACTGAACAACTCAATTTAAATTAATCTTCTCTTTATCAATGTCTCTTGTTTAAATATGCCAAGCTCAAATAGAGGAAGAAGGAAATCTGACCATTTTGTACAATCTTAGGTAAGAAAAATAATGGGAGGGGGGACAGGGTTTGAAATAACCCGCATACTGTTCCAAAATCGCATGGTCTTTTTCTATGAAGCATTGGTAATATTGAACGTGACAGACCCCCTTTTTTCCTCCCCAAGTTTTCCCCCTATATTTTTACAGAATGGTCAGACTTTTTTCTTTCTTCCATCCAACTTGCCTTTCTAATTTTTGCCAGCAATCAAGTACTCCTCCTTTTTATAATCCTTTTTGTTTGTTTGCAGGCAAAAATTAGAAAGGCAAATTGGATGGAAGAAAGGAAAGAGTCTGACCATTTTTAAAAAATATAGGTTGAAAATTGGGGAGGAAAAAAGGGGGTCTGTCACGTTCAAAATTACCGAAGCATTCCGAGATCAGTGATCCATTGTTGAAATTCAACATCGGGTAATTGAATTTTTATCATACAATCTAGTTAAAGTAAAATTTTTTATTGATTGTAACATTTTACGTTATTCAAATTGACATAAAAATGATCCTTTGACAGTTAGTTGCTACAAGCAAAACTTGCTGCAAGCAAAACAACTAAAACATTTAAAAAGAAACATTAAAAAAGAAAGAAAGTCCGCAAAAAAAGTCCGCAGAAATAGCACCCTCATCTTTAGTAGTGCCCATTTTTAGTGTTATTGTTAATAGTAATGGTTGAAGAAAATTGGTACGAATCTATTCGAGGCTTTTTAGTTGACATCACAGGTGTCTTATACAATAGCGGTGGAATTGCCATTGATGGATCCATTTTAGCTGTTAACAGGTTCATTCTTTACAGCGTTTACCTATTTTAAAATTCATTTTTCTAGACTTTATAGTGAGTCCAATGTGCGTTTTGTGAGTAATGAAAGTTCATCAACGAGGGAAGGAATTTGTACAATGCTTCGTAAACTTGGGTTTGAATCTATTCAACCGGATCATATTTTTACTCCTGCACCTGTTGCCGCAAAATATTTAACCAAACATGGGTTGTCACCTCATCTTCTTGTCCACAACAGTTAAATTTCAGTTTATGATGCTTTAATAATTTTAAAATTTTTAGACGTTTTGTCCGAATTCTCTAATTGCATTAATTCTCCAAATGGCCGCCCTTGTGTTGTACTTGCTGATGCAGAGAAGATTTGGATTTTATAAATATGAACAAAGCATTCCGTGTTTTACATTCCTCTTCAAATCCACTTTTGATTACGTTGGGAAATGGTAAGTTTTACCACCGTGCAGACCAAGGACCGTGTTTGGACACGGGTGCTTATGCTTCAGCATTAAAATTTGCTGTTGAGGATGCTGGAAGGTGCTGTGAGCATCTTGTGATTGGAAAACCAGAAGAAACTTATTTTATGTCTGCAGTTGAAGACCTTGGCTTGACAAAAGAACAGGTTATATGAAAAGAAACTAAAATAAGTTTGTTTACTACTAATACCTCGATTCTAAAACTACTATATTTGAAAAAAAACTTTAATTTGTACCAGAAACATTTAAAAAATTTGTTTTTAGGTTGTAATGATTGGTGATGACATTTCTGGAGATGTTGATGGAGCACAAAAAGTTGGAATCAAGGGGATACAAGTTCGGACTGGGAAATGGAGGTTATTTTTATAAATTTACAAAATCAGAAATCAATTAAATTTATTCACCACTAGTTATTTGATTTTTTTTTAAATTTTAGACCGGAATGGGAAAAACATCCTACAATCAAACCTGAACTTATTGTTGATAATCTTTTGAAAGCTGTCTCACTTATCTTGGATAGTCAGCAAAGACTTAAGAATTAAATTGTATTATATAAAACTAAAGTTGAATTAGGTCTTTATATTTTCTTTATATTTCTATTTTCAGAGCTCATTTATTATAAAATTAATTATGTTAATTTTTTATAGATTGTTTTATAATAATTATAAATTTCGATTTTCTTGTTTTTTTTTATAAATTTACATGTTTCTTAACGAAATTATTTTTTAATTAGTGTTAATTATTAGTTTGAAGAGTTTGCCTTTTTTAGTGAATTTTTCATATTTTCAATTTTATTATGAGTTCTGAACAGTTGGACAACAACAATTGTAATGAAGCAGGAATGAATTCAGTAACAGAAAAAGCACTTGATGTCAGGTTCTTGTTAAATTAATGAATTTTAGATTTATTTTATTTCAGTTTACCACCAAGTGAATGGTTTGACGAAATGTTTGGACCTTCAATTTCAGTGTTATCAGACATTGATAAAACTAAAAATCAAACGAATGGAACTAAGGCTCGTGAAATTACAAAAAAACCGCGGAGTAAGGAAATTAAAACTGAAGTAGTTGACATATCTGATGATGATGAGCAGAATAAGACAGTTGTTCAACCAATTAATTTGTCTGATGAGGTTTTAAATAATTTTGAAAAATAATTTTAGATTATAAAGTCAATATTATTTATTTTTTTAGTTCTGCGATATTACCCAGGAAGAAAGTATTGACTCACTGAGCCACAATGATATTGAAATAACCTCAATTGATAATGATATCCAACATTTGGAAACGACAAATGCAAATGCTGAAAATCTTAACATAACGAATGAATTAAAGAAGATTGTTTTGACCAAAACACGTTTAAATGTTCTTGGTGAGGCATCGGCCGAATCTTTTCATAAGGCTGTAATTGGTTGTTTCGTTCGTGTGCACGTACCAGGGATTGCAGAACACTTCAAAGATTTACTTTTTGTAAGAAATTTTAATTAAATGAATATGAGCATTTTTTTTAGTTTGATCAAATTGAGAATGTTTTCGAGCCCATGAGTTTTCAACATTTCTGGTTTAATCGGCGTTTTAGACTTGTTAATTTTGGTGATTTTGAAATTGGAAATATTTTTGACGTGGAGGTTAATGATAATGATATCCGTAAATGGATATGTTATGTTGAGGCTAAAGTAAGGAAAAATTTTTAATTAAAAAATTTAATTTCTAGGATGGGAAACTGCCAACAATGGAATTTATAAAGAAAAAGGAGGCAGAGTTATTTTCTGCAATGAAACAAATTAAAGAAAATCCTAAACAAAAAACAATTCAAATTTCTCCTAGCAAAATTAAAATTAAAAAAGAAAATTTAGGTTTAATTAAATTTTTTTATAATTTTAATAAATAATTTAGAACAAATAACACTGGGAATTGATTCACTTCGAAATTTGTCAAAATTGGATTTTGAACGTTTTCGACAAACTGTTGAAGGATGTTTTGTTTGTATTCAGGCAATTAGGAAAGACAAAGTAAATTATTTAATATACTTAATTAAAAAGTTCTTTTCTTTAGCCACAAAATTGCCAATATCATATTTGCCCTATAAAAAAGTGTATTAGAAGCGGAAAAGAGTATAAAATTAAGAATGTGGCTGTTGTTGATTATCAGCTTGTCCTTCCCTATTATGGCAAATACAATTTAAATTGGTTACGTGATGATTTTTCTATTGTTAATGAGGATGGTTTTAGAGTTTGGATTGAAGATATGAATTTTTGGGTTAAAAAATTCTTTTCAATTTATTTAAAAAATTATTTTTTTAGAATGAAGAAATTCCAAATTTGGATCAGATTCGAAATAAAGCTGCTATACTTCAATTGATGTTAACTGAAGCAGCAACATTGCCATCTCTTAAAGAAAAGGATCAAAATTCAGAAAATGAAAAATATAAGAACATGCCTGTGCAATCAGCACGTGATTTGGATGGTTGTTTGTTAACACATCAACGTTTAAAAAAGCTTTCGATACTTTCTGATCAAATTGAATTATTGAATATGACAATGACTGGCTGTTTTGTTCGTTTGAAAATTGGGCCAGCTAAACAATTCAAAGTTTTTTTAAACTTAATTTTTATTGGGGTTTTCTTTGTTTTATAATTTGCGTTTCAGAAATTAATTCTCAGACTACCATAGTGAAAGGGTTATTTATTCATTACTTAAAAACGTTTCAATAAAATTAATTGAAGCAATATTGTTATAACTAAAAATCCGTTATATTTTTATTTTTTTTCAAGATTGATCAAGTCAAGCGCGTCGAAATGGTTGAGGTTAAGGAGGAAAAAGATAAAGAAACAAGTGACATTTCAAATGATAGTAAAAAGAAAGAATTAGTTTTGCATTTAAATTCTATTGGCACAATTACAATTAGCAATTTATTTAAAATTGCAAGTCAATTTAAAATTGAGGAACAAGAATTTCGTGAATGGCTTCGAATAATGCATCGTCATTACGTAACTGAAAAATTTAAAAATTAAAAATAATTTGAAAACCTTAGGTTGATGAAATCCTTCCAACAAAAGAATTTCTCGACAGAAAACAACAAGAAATAGAAAGGGCATTGAAATTAGCCGTTGATAAAGAAGATAAGGAAGATAGAGAAAGGCAAATTACTCGTTCAGAAATTGTTAATCGTGTTAGTCGTCCAAATTTTGATAAATCACGCCAAAATAGAAAGACTGCTCAATATGAATCAACTTCAGACCGAACGCCAGTAAATCGACCTCGCTCAGCTGGTCCATCGCGTGGAAGACAGTGGAGTGGATATAAGGCATATCAGGCGGTAATTTTAATAAATACACTGCTCCACATAATTATAAGTCCACCCCTTTTTTCGGGATTTTTTGACTCACAGTTATCCAAATTTTCTGGAAATTTAGAAACACACCTTTTAGTGAATAACTAACAAGGTGTGATTCGATTTTTGGCTGAATTTTTATTTAAAAAATTTTTAGACCAAAATTTGCGTTTTCGGCCTCCACAAAATTATAAGTCCACTTTTCAAAAAAGATATTTCCAAGTATAGGAAAAATCTACAAAAATTCTAGCAACAATACATAATGATATTATGAAAAAATAAAAAAAATTAGACCCGTATCTTTACCCGGAGCCGAGATCCTGAGACCTCAAAAATCAACGTAAAACGGGGGTAAGGCTCTTTAAAAAAATTTTCGACCCCTTATCGATTATTTTCAATTTTGATTTTGGGCTCATTCGAAAGCCCTTGAAATTTGCTACAAGATAGCATTAATGAAATTTTATAGGAAATTCGATTAGAAAGATACGGGCCGTTAATCTTCTGATGCAGCAAAAATCGTCTAAATGCCCCCATAAAATGTCCCTCTAATGACACATAGAAAGTTTATCGTCTTGTATCTCTCTATGGAATTTTTCTGAGAAATAAGACTATTGCTATCTTGTAGCAAATTTCAAGGGCTTTCGAATGAGCCCAAAATCAAAATTGAAATTAACCGATAAGGGGTCGAAAAAATTTTTTTGAAGACCTTACCCCCGTTTTACGTTGATTTTCGAGGTCTCAGGATCTCAGCTCCGGGTAAAGATACGGGTCTAATTTTTTTTTATTTTTTCATAATATCATTATGTATTGTTGCTAGAATTTTTGTAGATTTTTCCTATACTTGGAAATATCTTTTTTGAAAAGTGGACTTATAATTTTGTGGAGGCCGAAAACGCAAATTTTGGTCTAAAAATTTTTTAAATAAAAATTCAGCCAAAAATCGAATCACACCTTGTTAGTTATGCACTAAAAGGTGTGTTTCTAAATTTCCAGAAAATTTGGATAACTGTGAGTCAAAAAAGCCCGAAAAAAGGGGTGGACTTATAATTATGTGGAGCAGTGTACTTTAAAAATTTCTTTTTTTTCTGACACAAACAAGCCGTTTTCCCTTCAATTTTGACTCGATTCTTTCATATACCATTTGTTTTCAATTTTATAAATTTTTAGTATTCAACTCGACCTGTTGTTCATTCAACACCCGGTGTAAAACCTGGGTGGACTTCATCAGGAATGATTAATTCTATCAATTCTACTGATTTATACAACAGTGGAAGTGATATGCTTGAATCTCTGCGACAACAGCAACAAACTGATAATTTATCTCTCTTAAGCGGCACTAGCGATCATCAATTTTTTCCACCTGCGAATAATTCTATACTTGGTAAACGTTCAACTTTTCCCGAAGATACGCGTCGAGGAATGTTGGATTTGTGGAAAACGCAATTACAAGCTACAGAGCAACGACAACGTGAGCAAATTTCTTTGGTTAGTTTCTTTTGAATATTAGTTGTAAACCAAAAAAATATATGTAGTCTATTTATTAAAAATTAAAAAAAAATTTTTTTAGATCGATGATGAACCTACTTCTGATTTTCGTGTTCCTTTTGTACGCGGCGGCACTATTCTAAACGACCGTTCTTATGAAACTGAGTTACGTTCTACTCCAAATTTTTACTCTTCATCTCCCATTCAGGTAATTGAATTTTTAATATTTACATAAAAAATTTTCGATCAATGAGTCTGGCTGGCTGTCTTCTCTCTTTAAACACATCCCTTCAAACAGTGTTGGGTATTCATTGGGCATTTGTTCTCTCCGGCTCTGACCTTTTTCAAACCTTTTTGTTAGCTCCGGCTCCGGGTGGAAAATCACCACCCGGATTCGGGTGGTGTGATTTGGTAGATTAAGGGATATCAAGTGATATTAGGGGATTAAGAGGGCCCTGCATCTAAGCCCTGCCGAAGCCGGCTAGCTCCTTGGCCATACCCAGCACTGCTTACAATTATAACTTAATTTTATTTACAATAATTTTTAACAATAAGCCTGTTTTCTAGTTCAAAACTTTGTTTTATTTTTATTTAGAAATCTGCGCCTCAATATGTTTCGGGTGGTCTCTTCACTCCAGGATCTCGTCGAATTGACATACCTTCTCGTTATCAATCAAATTCTACAAGTTTGTTAAATGATCTTGCAGGGGAACAGATATTCTCTA